ATGGAAGTTGAAGATCTTGACGATGATACCTTTAAAACTGTCCAAGCCTTTATAAACTTTGAAAAGTTTTTATGTGCCTGTAGTCTGAGACCACTTATTCAAGTCATGTAACTAATTCCTCTGGCTGATTTGCTTGCTCAGTAAGGAGCCCTCTGATTCTATTGTCATTTCGATGTCCTTAACCTGTGTGTAATATGCAGGTCACATTAATAGTAATAACTCTAATTGCCCTTAAATTTGTCCTTACCTGCTGACAAAAACCTCACATCCTTTGCAAATCCTACTGCCTCACCATCCACCCAAGCTCCCAAGCAGTGGCTTGTATATGTTCACAGATAAATCCACACGATCAGTTCTTGCCTCTCACTGGGCACAGGCATCAGTGCATTCTGGCTATACTTCCACACCTTCACACAGTAAAATGTACTGGAAACAAATCAAATGTAAGCCAAATTTTGAAAGCCAAAAAATGTATTACTATTTTGACAAATAAGTATCTTTAAAAATACCATACATTATCACCATCATTTCACCCATATATTTTAAGTACTTTTTAAAATTTGTTTGAATTATTTATTTGAAATATTTGAAGCATACAAAGGAATATATGTAGTATATATGTATACATTACTAGGTAAACATTATAATGAATACCTGTGAATCCATCACGCAAGAACTAAAATATTACCAGTAGTTTTATATCCACATGCTCTATCTCCATCACAAGCCCTGCCTTTCTCCCAGAGATAGTCACTACCCAGAGTTTTGTCCATTTCATTATGAGATTCATTTCCAGAAAAATCTTACTTTTGATGTTAATAGTGATCCATTATAATTTGTAAGAGAAGCATTCTCTTCCTTTTAAACAAGCTTTTATCACATGTATGTATTCTTAAACAATATATTGTTTCAATTCTTATTATTCAGCTTTATAAAAATTATATATTCTATGTACTCTACAACTTGCTTTCTTTAATATTTCTAAATTCAAGAATGATGTTACATCTGTCTATGGTTTATTAATTTTTACTGATATGTAATATTCCATTGGGTAAAATCACTAGTTTTTTTGTTCATTCTCCTGAAATATACATTTGAATTGTTTTAATACTTTTGCTATTACAAGCAATGTTGGTGGGACACATTTGCAAAAATTTCCCTAAGGATATATATACCTAAGAATGGAACTGCTGGGTATACACATTTTCAACTTTACAAGATAGTTCTGAATTTTTTTCCAAAGCAATTTAACAAATTTACATCTCCTCCACTAGCATATAATATCCTTCTGACTTGCATCTTCACTAGCCCTTAGTAATACTCAAACTTATTATTACCCATCTAGTGACTAAAAAGTGTTATAGGGGGCTTAATCTATTAAATTACAAATTTGCAAATTTACAGATTAAAACTATTAATAAAGATGAGCAACTGTTCACCTTTTGTTTGCCATTTGGGTTTACTCTCCTATAATATGCCTACTGTAAGTTTTGACCATTATCCAGTCAGTGATATATCTTGACTCTATCTAACCCTATTTACATAAGAGTTTCTCATTCAGTTCTCAGAATTTTGTGGGTCCTGTACATTTGCCCATAGATACTTGTCCTGACCCGCAGGACTATCAACGCGGGTCGACGACCTGGAGGACAGAATGAAGGGGCAAGAGACACAAAGAACGGACAGCAAGACAGGATGTCTGATCAAGCTGACCAATTTTATTTTTCTCAGGCTCAATTTATATAGGTTGTGACGAAAATATATGTAAAGAGGTGATTGGTCTTCAGTTGGCACTGGCGGGAACGTGTAGAGAGGTGATTGGGCTTCAGGTGGCGCCGGCAGGAACCGAGGACCCGGAAGAGAAGCAGGAAGTTCGCCATCTTGTGGGTGGGGGCCCTTGGGAGGGAGGTTTAAGGGTGGGGCTTTCCCCTGGGGCAGTGGGTGTTCTTGAGAAGCAGGAGTTTGGCAGGGTTAGAAGGCCAGTGGAAAGAACTGAGGAGGAAACATTGCTTAGCAATCTGACTGCAAGATCTATATTGATTTGGCTAGGAGAGCAACTCTGCCTTACTGCAGAAATGATTGCTGTTGTCTTACGACTTACATAACTAGTATTGCTTAAAAGTCCATAGGCTTGCTCCCAGCAGATACTGATGTTTTCTTCCTGCAGTAGCAATGCCTCATGTTTGTGTGAGATAACTAGTTTACAAAGCACTCTCACAAATCTTATCTTATTTGAGTCTCCCAACAACTATTTAAAAGACAAGTTGGGTATATTATTATACTTGTTTTATAGGTAAGGACACTGAGTGGCTTGCCCAAGGTCAGAAGGCTAAATCCTCACACTCTGAATTCCATAGCCTCCTTATGATTATATGATGCTTTAGCTGTTTGTAGATGACGGCCTATTCAGGTAAGCAAATGTTGTGCCTCTGCTTAGCATCTTCACTTCAGTTTCTTCTCTTTTTGGTATATTTCAAATACAGCTCTAGTCTACAAAGTTCACTCTGAATTTACTACCTACAACATAAAAGATGAGTAAAGGAAGCACCAAGAGAATTTTTAATAGGACTTTTTTTTTAATTTTAAGAGAGTCTAGGAGGATATCAGAAACTATAACAGCTACCTATTCTGGGGCAAATCACATTTAAAAAAATAATGGGTTTTCTATGTAAGAAGGCTGATTTTAAGTTCAGAATTGTCCTTTCTTTTGAGCTTTGAGAGAGTTGAAAAGAGGAATACAGAGAATAAAGAGAAAAAAATAGACTAACTTTTTCAGTATTTTCTAAATTGGCTATGTCAAATACTGATTCTATTGATTAATTATTAAATATTGTTTGTTATATTAGATATAACTAATACTTATAATTAATATTAAATATTGAGCTTGTAGTGGGCAGCAATATTGCTGGGATAGTAATTCCATCACTCAAACTCCAGCTGAAGCTGCTATACCTGGGTGGTTGGGTGTGCATCCACCTACTTTGGGAGCCTAAGGAGAGTGGGATGTTAGCTCTCAAATGAGAGATGCCCAAATGTTCTCTCTCAAACAGTGAAGATGGTGTAAGATAGTACTTCTTTCTTTCAGGGAGTTCTTAAATTCATTCATTCATTCATTCTCAAGCTAATAAAACTATTGCATGTAAACTCTTTAAACTTCTGGTAGCTTCCATGAGTTATTTTATTTTTAGGTATATTGCATACAGCAGAGAGAAAATTGATGCAGCCAGCAGTTACCAAAAAGGACCTGGGGATAAATAAGGAAACAGCATTCCTACTCTGAGGTACTTTAATCACCTCAGAGTAGTTCTGTAGCAGCTAACAGTCATCATAAGCACTTCCTGGGCACATCCCTTGATGAATAATAAAGAGGTAGGACCACATCCTATCTTCTTCTCCAAAGAGAAAGCAACTGTCTCTTCTACAGATAATTATTCAATACGACCTTTCCTAGATCTCTTTCTTCTAGTATTATGATACATGCATCTCCAGTTATGTACCTAGTATTTACTCATCAAATATTCTTACATCAGTGTCCCGTTTAAAATCGGTAGGCCTGCTGGTTTCCATGAATGATGGCTTCTACAAGTATTTTGATCTGAGGCTGAGCACTGTGTGTGTTATATGAGAATATATATCTGATGATGAGCTCCCCTGGTGTGCTTCTTTAGTGAGTCAGGCACCATACTGGGCTCAGGCAGTTCACCTGGAGCAAGAGTAATTATATCACCAAGTGGCAAGTGGAAGAGAGAGGTGTGCAGTGGGAGAAGCATATTAATGACTTTGGAATTCAGATCTGTGCTTAGAGAGAATAAGGTGAACTCTGTGTTAAGTTTGAGGTCTCATATTTTATAGTTGTGTGTAAGGATATGGGTCATAAGTCATGACCCATACATTCCTAACATAAAGGGAGGGGCATTCTTGGCTGGCAGCTTCTAGTATCAGCTAATACAAGTCCCAAAAAGGTGAATTACCCACTGAGAGGGAGGACACTATTTCTGTTTTTAGAAGTAGACCCTCAAATCAACTGCTTTAAAAAGGGCTTTGTGGATAATATGACCATATAATTTAATATCCACTTTGTGTGGGAGAAAGTGCAAGATCAAGGGGACAAAAGACCCAAGTAGGTACCTTCTCAGGCAAATAAAAAATGTAAGCACCCTATTTATGGAAAGAAAAGTGCTCAAAGCCTTCTACGAGGTGAGGGTGGGAGGGTTGATATGATAGAACTTCCAAGAGAAAAAATGTCAGAAGCCAAAGAGGCATCCAGTTATCTTTTCACGGGGAAGTCAGGAGAGTCCAGAATAGTCCAGGGAAATGGATTTTAAGGACATTACAAGGGCATGAAATTGTTGGCACTTCAATTTTTGTTTTTAAAGATTCTATACTTTCCCATTATGATCAACAGCAAAGCTCTTTAATTAAAAAGGGCTGGTATTGGTCTGTAGGGACAGCCAGCCAGAAGTGGGGCTCTGGGGAAATAATACCTCATTCTGTTGTCACGTTGGATGTTGGTGGGGAAGGATTAATGAGAGGTCTTTCGACAGAAAGAACAGACTACTTGGGTGGCGGTGGAGGACATCTAGAATTATAAAGAAATACTGGGGACAAAGAAAAGACCTTGTGAAATGTCTGAGATGGTGTCTCACCAGTCTGATTAATAGGGCCATGATCTCTGAGCGACCCTGGGTGACAACACTCCACGGTGTGAAAGTGAGCGCAGACAGCAGTGCCATTTGGTTCTCTGGGAGTGACACCAAGTGTCTCTGACCTGTCTGTGGGAGCCCAGGGACTGCAGCCCCGAGTTAGCGGCACTCGGACCCTGGAGGGCCTACGCTGGGATGCAGACAGAGAGCACCCCGAGCAACGGGCGTGTCTCGAAAACCACTTGCTTAAAACCTACGCCCGGTAGGGTGCGTTCAGTGGCCAACGCTTTCCCATGGCCCCGCCCACGGCCCCAGCAGTGCCTTAAAAGTGCACGCCGCTCCCCTCTCCGCGGTCGCGCTGAAAACCCTGGTGCCTCCTGCGAAGGGGTCCAGAGGCGCGGGGCTCGGCCACTGCGCGTGCGCGCGCGGCGCCCGTCCCTTGCGACCCCTCTCCTGCGCCCGGACTTGGTACGGCCGGGACGACGGTTGGCGTCCTCCGCGGCCCAGCTTGGGGCGGACTTTTCAAATCTTACCTCTGGGGGCGTGGCGGCGGCCCTGGCGCTGGTGCTGGCGCTGGAGATGGAGCGGCCGGCCTCGGGCAGTGCGGAGCTAGCCCCGGCGGGGCTTCCCGCCCAACAGGTGGGTGAGGACGGGGCCAGGCGTCAGGTCCTCCGCCGCCGTTTGGTCTCGTCGTCGGGAAAGCCCCACTCCGCGTCCGTATTCAGCCGTGGCCAGAAACAGAGGGAGGGACTAGGAGACTGCTCTGTGACCTAATGGAGCTCGGAAATCCCCCGTGTCCTGGCCTCTCCTGGATCTCTCAGGGAGGAAACCGGCGGGAGTGGGAAGCGATGCCGAGTACCGCCGTGCGTTTCCGGGCGCACCTGTCCACCGCCGCTTGCATAGTCGGTGTTTTTGCAAGCGTAGGTGACCCCGGGGAAATGGGACACTGGGGATTTTCTAGAAGCCTACCGAGGCCGATTGAGGACAGTCCGATTATTACTAGATTTGGTGGAAAGTGCAATTACTGGAGTCTACACACAACACAAACTTGAGGGGGCGGGGCGGAGAAGCAAACTGCAATCTCAACTTAACAAAAAGTTGTCTTGTATTCTTTTTGAATTGAATAGGAGAGAAGTTTGAAGTTTGCAATTTAGCCATGTAAAATGTGTGTTAGGAACCTTTTTTACTTAATATAGATCGCTGTTATTTCTTGGCAAAATCGGTTATTAAAATGTACTTTCCACGCTTAACTATAACTTGAAGGACTTAAAGGAAAACTCTGATGTCTTTAAACTGGATCTTCCATTTTAATCTCCACCTTCTTTTTTCCTACTTTTAAAGTAGGCAAAGCCATATGAAATTACCAGTTTTGTAGGTCAAAATTGGTGGAATATTAGCAATTTCCAACCTGTTATCTTTGCTTAGAAAACTTACCTTTTTTAGAAACCTCAGCAGACACAGATCTGTTAGGAAGTCTTAAGTAATACTGTGAAAAATAAAGCAAGACATTAGGAGTCATTATGCAAAAAAATCCAGTAACTCTTTATCAGTAATTTATGCTGTTTTATGCCAGCATTTACAAAAATTTCAAACATTTTGATGTAAAGTACTTCTTTTCTGTACTATGCTCTCATGTACTTCGGCTGTCCTGATTGTTAACAAAGTCTTGATTTCTGGTGACTTGATCTGTTGATGCTCTTGCACTCATCATCTAGGTGTCAGTGTAGCTGTTCAGATATGTTTATTGAGCTGTGTGCAGCAGTAATTAGGAATGGCGACAAAAGGGACAAGAGTATAAGGTCATAAAAGAAGTTTAGCTATTTACATATACAGAAGGGCTGGATTATTTACATATGGGAAGGTACAATACTTAATGATTTCTTAGGCAGCAAGAAACTCAAATGATTGATTTGTGGAATAGTTTGTGTTTGGAACTTGGAGAAAAATGGCAAAATAGTAATAGATTACAACCTAACAGAAATATTACAGGTCAGTGATGAACTAATTCTGAATTTTTATTTGGTGTATTTTCTTTGACATTAATGAATCTACCATCTAATCGGGATAGGATCAAAGATTTCTAGGTGGTCATACACTAGTGAAACACCTCTACTCAAATTTTAGAGTCATTTGTGACTACTCACAGTATAGAATGTTGGCTTTGGAGTCAGATTAAGGTCAAATCCACCTCTTCTTGTTATACAACCTTAAATAAGTTAACTGTCTTTTCTAAGTCATTTCCACAGTTGTAGAATGGGTAAAATGTCTATCCCAGTTGTTGGACTTAGAGAATTTCCTTAAAGTACTTAGCACAGCACCTAACACTCAGAACGTGCTTGAGAGATGACTTTTTTTTTACTGTCTTTTGTCCTATATATCTGAGCAGTTGGAGCAGCCTCTTACCATCATCTAGGTGTCAGTGTAGCTGTTCAGATATGTTTATTGAGCTGTGTGCAGCAGTAATTAGGAATGGCGACAAAAGGGACAAGAGTATAAGGTCATAAAAGAAGTTTAGCTATTTACATATACAGAAGGGCTGGATTATTTACATATGGGAAGGTACAATACTTAATGATTTCTTAGGCAGCAAGAAACTCAAATGATTGATTTGTGGAATAGTTTGTGTTTGGAACTTGGAGAAAAATGGCAAAATAGTAATAGATTACAACCTAACAGAAATATTACAGGTCAGTGATGAACTAATTCTGAATTTTTATTTGGTGTATTTTCTTTGACATTAATGAATCTACCATCTAATCGGGATAGGATCAAAGATTTCTAGGTGGTCATACACTAGTGAAACACCTCTACTCAAATTTTAGAGTCATTTGTGACTACTCACAGTATAGAATGTTGGCTTTGGAGTCAGATTAAGGTCAAATCCACCTCTTCTTGTTATACAACCTTAAATAAGTTAACTGTCTTTTCTAAGTCATTTCCACAGTTGTAGAATGGGTAAAATGTCTATCCCAGTTGTTGGACTTAGAGAATTTCCTTAAAGTACTTAGCACAGCACCTAACACTCAGAACGTGCTTGAGAGATGACTTTTTTTTTACTGTCTTTTGTCCTATATATCTGAGCAGTTGGAGCAGCCTCTTACCTTTTCTTATAAATGTTTAAGCTTTTGAAATCTTAAAAAAGTAAAATTTAAGAAGTGGTACTATAGCATTGCAGAAAAGTAAACATATGCAGAAACATGAACTTAAGAATTCTTTAATTCCATTCCTCAGAATGACCATTGTTAACAATTTCCAGACTTTTTCTGTATGTGAATAGTATTTAAAATATGTATAATTTAACTTAGAAGAATGTTTACTGTATATTCTATTGCAGTCTTCTTTTTCATCTTTGTTTCCTAGCTAACATGGTATAACTGTGTGCATTAAGTGGGTGATAGTTTATATTAGGATTACTACAGATGTCCTACCAGCAGCCCAACTTTATTTTGTTTTAAGTCACTGCATAATTCCAACACTAAGGCCATTTTCTTTGCACTTCCTTTCTGCCATTCTGACTCTTAAAAGCTAGTATGTTTTGTTTTCTGCATAATTTAGATTTTCACTTTTTTTTTTAACGGAGACTCAAGCCAGGTTTAATGATCACTGTCTAGTTTTCAGGCCCAGAGGCTCTAGATTTTCACTTTTAAGGCATCTCTCAATTTCACTTTTCGCTTTCCCCTTTGTATTTTTATCAGTCTAACTTGGTCTGCAAGATCAAAATAGTGTCATAGCCTTCTGTTTGACTTCATTACAAGCAAGCCCTTACTCAGAAGGAATAGCAAGACGATGGTTTTCTCTGCATTCTCCACTCTTCCTGAAGACTTGGATTCAAACACGTCTAGAGGGATGAGTCCATGGAAAGAAGCTTTTTTGTCATAGGCCCTAATCAGTCTTGACTCTGCCAGTGTGGCTGAGGCAGCAGCCGTGATGATGTTGAGCTCCCGAGCTCTCGTCCTCTCTGAGGTCAGTAAACATCACCTTTGAATGCTCACTGGGTGCCCTCATCACATGAGCATTGTTCTCCCTGGAGAGCACTAGACGTCAACACCTAGTCCAGGAGTGTTCTGGACCCCTTACTAACTAAAGATACGTCCTGTGACTCCATAAAGCCTTTCTTGCCGAGAGTGGCTTATCTTGACCGAAGCAGTTTTCTCTGTGTGTAAAGTAGAGATGTGTCCTGAGAGAAGTTGCATGAAGAACACAAAACTGGCTAACACAATAGCTCTTTTTACTCTGACTACATTCAAAAGCATACATTCACTTACAAATTTATCCCTCTTATGTCAGCCCTCCCAGATCCGCATCTACTCATTGTAGAGCAGAGGAATTAAGGTCGTAGTTTACTGGGAATGTTAATTTGGCTGGTTTAAGGGTCAGCAAACTATTTCTGTAAAAGGATAGAGAGTAAATATTTTAAGCTTTCTAAGCCACATTATTCCTACTGAACTCAGCTATTGTAGCTTGGAAGTAGCCATAGATAATACAAATGGGCATGACTATGCTTCAGTACAACGAAAACAGGGATAAGCCAGGCTATATAGTTTGCTGATTCCTGCTCTAAAGAATAGAATTCTAATGTTAATATCTGCTAAATATCCCATTTCCTTAATGAATATTTACTATTACAAATAAGGTTTTTTAAAAATCCTGACTTTACATTTCCTTTTCCCACTATTTCCCAAGCCTCTATAATTTTATAACTCTTTATCAGTTAGTGATGAAGAGAATGCAATCTTTATTTTCAAAATGAAAACTCTTTAGTCCAAATTTATTATACCTTAATGTGGCTGTGGCCATCTGCTGGTTCCTGAAGGTTGTTGCAACTTTCCAGATTGCTGTGAATTTCAAGTAGCCCTGCAGTAGTAGTCCTCTACCCAGTCTGTGCCTTCAGTCATCAGAAGAACTTAAAATAACATGCTCAGGCTCCATCTCCAGAGGTCCTAATTGTTTTGGGGGTGGTACATTATAAGTCCGCTCAAGGTGATTCTAGTGTGCAGCCGGCTTTAAGACCCGCTGTACTGTTTTCACTGGCTGCCTCACTGTAGCATTTAGAAAACAAAATTGAATTTAATGGCACCAGATGGTATTTGTTTATATTTGAGTTGTGGGATAAATCTATTCAGCCCAGCTTCGAGTTGCACCCTATGTGCATCCCCAGTACTAACCAGCCTGCCAGAGTAAGTCTATAGACATAATGGGTTACACAGATAATTTTTACAATTAATTATTAATCACATTAAAGAAGACTTCTTTGGGGCTGACAAGTCATAAAATGATGATATGGAGTTGTGAAATTCAGTCATGTGTAAAGAAGGAAAACCAGCAAATGACTACATTTATATAGTATACCAGTTTTGAGTTATACTACTAAAGGTTGTTATGGGTGATTACATGGTGTAATTACAGAAAGTAATTAAACAGATCTGTTTTTCTGCATGTGAATAGTACATTTGATTGATCTGAACAGTTAAGTTAAATCATTTGAAGTTTCTCTTTTTAGGTAATCTTCATAGGCTATTGCTGTCCTAACTTTCAGAGTTTGTTTTTGAAAAGATTGTCTTTATAGTATCTGGAACTTTGTATTTAGAGTCTGATTCACGTTTTTTGATATAGATTTTGACTCAATGAAAACGTGAATTTTAGTGTTATTTTTTATTTTTTATTTTTGCCACAGATGCCAGGATGGTCACTTTACTTTTAGAAATAAACATACTGGAGCATTACTATATGTTTTGTAATATAGTAAAGAGCATCTGATGATTTATAATTTTTAAAAAACCACTGTGAATCAAATGAGAACAGTGTTTCAGTTAATAGAATTTTAATGTTACATATGAAACTTGTATATAGATCCAGGCCATTACAAGACTGTAATATGGAATAAAAGACTTTCAGAACTAAAATAACTTAGTAGTTTTATGGTGACTCTTAAAACTAAAATAAACATAACCCAAAAATATATTCTAAATCTCTGTTCCAGTAGCTAAAGCTTCTGACATATTTTGACCACAGTGCTTAGTGTGTTTCTGAGGTTTATTTACTGTGCTTACCATGACAATAGCCTGTTACCTACCTGCTGCTAAACCTTAAAACCTTTATTCAGCTTTTGCTTTTTTAGAAACTTTTTCCTTGGTGAAATTAGTGTCACGAACCACATCTTGTCACCCCACAATACAGCTGATAATATGTAATATTTGTCACATTAGTTATTGTATTACTGGGTTTGTTAACTGAGGCTGCTGTGACAAATACCAAAACTGAATGGTTTAAAACAACAGGCCTCTATTCTCTGAGTTCTGGAATCCAGAAGTCTGAAATCAAAGTGTCTGTAGGACCAGGCTCCTCTTGAAGGCTCTAAAGAAGAATCTTTCCTTGCCTTTCCTGTTTCTGGTGGTGATGATCCTTGGTGTTTGCTGGCCTTGTAGACCATTGCTCTGATCCTTGCTTCTGTCTTCATGTGGAGTTCTCTCTGTGTGTGTCTGCATGTCTTAACATGGCTTTCTTATAAGGGTACCAGTTATTGGATGTAGGGCCCACACAAATGCAGTATGACCTTATCCTAGCTGATTACACCTGCAAAACTCTATATCCAAATAACGTCACAATTCTCAGGTTCTCAGAGGACAGGAATATTTGAGAGATGCTATTCAACCTTGTACCATTAAGGTAAGAATATGAATGTGTCTCACCTTTGTTTATGTTCTGTTTATCTGGTAGGTTATAAAGACTTCCTAAAAGGGCAAGAAATTAAGGTTTTGAAAAGAACATTTAAAAATAGCTATATTTTTTATATTGTCATACATCAGAACTGTTACTTTCCCAATATGTTATGAAATTATAATGATATCTAGAACATTTTACATCTTTAGGAGTAAAAAGAAATGTTATAATTTTGCATATTCAATCTTCTAAAAATACTTTTCTCTTTTTTTTTAAGGACTGCAGCATTCAAGAAAAAATAGATCTAGAAATTCGGATGCGAGAAGGAATATGGAAACTCCTTTCCCTGAGCACTCAGAAAGATCAGATTTTGCATGCAGTAAAGAATCTCATGGTATGCAATGCTCGAATAGTGGCTTATACATTGGAGCTACAGAAATTGAAAGAGCAGGTTGCAAATCAGACTGGAAGATGGTTAGTAGCATGTTTTCTCTATAACTTTTAATGTAATTCAATATTTGAATTAAAATGTTTGGATTAAAAACATGATATAATTAAATCATATGGTCAAATATCAAATCATCAAAGCTTTTAAAAAATAAATACCTTGAAGTAGCCTCTGATATAAACGTTTTGACAGTAGAGCTCAGGGTAAACGTACTATTAAGGTGGCAATTTTCACTGAGCAGTTGTATTGTGTTTCATACTTACAGATTTATAAAATGAAATGGTTAAGAAGGAAGAACTGAGGGAATGTATTCAGGGCAAGACTGATAGATGAGTATATAGAAATGTAAATTTTTAAATTGCTTGAAAATATTCTAATAATGAGGTTACTAGCTGAAAGTAATGGAAACTTAGGTACAGAAATTGAAATGAGTGGGCGGCAAAATTAAAAAGGTGTTAAAACCTTATACCCTTCATATAGTGAATAAGTATAAGACAGGAAGTGACTTGCTCAGACATGTAACTAGCTAGTGACAGAAGCTAATGAGAGGTTACTTAGGATTTGTAAGTAGCTTCTAGTCCTTGTTCTCTGTGTCACTCATGCTGCCCTTTTGGATTAGGTATAGGATTTGTGTATGAAATTTTCATCCTATCCCGTTTACAATGCCAAGTCTTATTTGGACCTAAGAATTGACTAAATTTGGTGGCTAGATGTTGGTTTCTTTTTTAATATAAATGATCTTACATATCCCACTGCTGATCACTTTTAAAGCTCTAGTGCTAGTGAAGTTTCTTTATAGACATTAGTGCCCATTGGACTGTTCACATTGCACCTTCATTAAACTCTTGAAAATAAGGTAAAAAACAGGTCAAAAAAGAGATTTCTGTAAAAATAAAATATTGATAAGATTGTGATATAATAAAGACTTGTGTATAAGTGGCTAATATTTATTAGCTATATTGCCTAGGGAGAACTGTTTAATCCCCTGTGCCTCATTTCCTTCTTTATAGTTAGCATGATAATATTTACATTTTGAAAATTAAGATTATATACAATTTTATTAAGAATTTTTATATTAAAAACCTAATGTAATACCTTGCACAAAATAAGTACTTAACAAATGTCAACTAATTTTCATTATTATTTATTCCTCATGTTATAAAATGAAATATTCTGGTATCATAATCCAAGAAAATATTTTTCAGATAGACACATATTGGTATTGGTTTAAGTCAGTGCTTCTCAAACTAGGTCACATGTGTCACTGAGAGTATATGATTATGTGTCAGAAAATATGTAAAGCCATAGAGTAAACATGATGCATCTTGTAGCATGAGTTTTTAAGATAAAGCATGGGAAATTTAAAATTGTGTCATAATTTGGGGTTATGCTATTCATGGGGATATATGTTCCTTCTCCCCAGCCCTTGTAAGGATATTTTGTCAAGGGGGGCTGTTTCAGTGAAGCAGTCTGAGAAACAGGTGTATGTAAAGTGTCAGGCTAAATAAATTCATATCTCTCACAGTTATATGGAATATTCCTTTGGGAATCATATCTGCCCTCCATATTGTCATTCTTTAAATATTTATAATGAATTGGGAATTGGCCATTTTCTTAATTTGACAGTATGACTTTTCTGAAGTTGCTGATTTATAAAAATGTTAAATAAACTTAATCTGTGTTGGATTGATATAACAAAGATAGGAAAAAATATTGGGACTCTCAACTGAAAATGTATATGATTTTCAGTTTCTTTAGTGAATTATCTTTGATAGATGAAAATGGCTTTGATGCTATATACATCATGGTTTGTTCATCCTTCATGTAAAACCATTATCTCCCTTAACTATTGAAGTATTTCTTTTAAAAAATCTGACTATTCTGTATTAATTCTTTGGTTTAAACTTCATTTTATGTGCAGATATAATCTGAGGTCAATTGTCAGATAAAACTGGAAATTATAGTTCTTGCCTTCTTATTACATAAAAATGATCTAAAGATTAATGATAGTCTTAGGATAGTATTTTTAGTTCTTTGAAGAAAGTAATATAAATTATGTCATTTAGTCAATCAAATATTTACCAAATATCTACTACTTGTAGGACATTTATTAAGTGCTGTGGTAGTATATCCAAATTCAAAGAGCAGAATTTGTCAAAATATGATAAGTATGAATATCAGCAGTCAAATATTTTACCTTTAGACTCAGGAGTCTGTCCCTTAATTTGGTTTTGATAGTCTTAAAGGTAGAAAAATGTTCTGTTTTTACATTGCTACCAGAGTTAAAGTAGCTTTTTAATGAGTCTACTGCCTATCACTAGTCCACCTTCTACAAAATTTTATGATAAAATATCAATAAAATTAACAATATCAAAAAATTTGATTCTAATCAAATCAGTATGAAATGGTAGAATTGAAAATGTAATGGAAGAATTGGGTCTGAATCTTCTAGATCATGAAGGATGGATAGAGTTTGGTTAGGTGAGTTGGAAGAAAGCAGCATTCCAAGAAAGGAAAATAGCAAAATAAAAGCTTAGGGTGAAAGATGAACATGAGTTATTCCAGAGCAGTGAAGAGATTTGAGGCAGAAGATTAAACCAAAATTGAAAAGGAAGGGAATAGCAAGATTCAAGAAGGTTTAGGATGCTAGGAAGTTAGTTGTTACTAACTGACAGCCTTTCTAGGTGCTAGATATTGTGCTAATGTGTTCACAAATAAACACAGAGGTATAAACTTCTACTAAGGACTTATAAACTAGGACTTAGAAATATTAGATAACTGTTTATCTACACACAGTGACTATGTAGCTTAGATGTAAACCCTGATGACTTAAAAGTCTGAGTACCCCTCCCCTTCCGCCCTCAAAAACCCATATATTTTGTACTACCCCAAGCTGCCCTGGTGAGTTATTATAGGGCTTTACATTTATTTCATTGTTTGTCTATTTTTTAGTACATTATTTTCATCAAGAAAGTGTCATGATGAAATGGGTGTTGGGAAGGTCATATGGCAGTAGAATATTGAAAAGAAGAGTTAAACAAAATAATTGAAATAACCAACCTTTAGGGAAAACATTTAAGAAGAAGGGACATAGAAGTGTTTGAGTAAATACCTTTTGGTGAGAGAAATGATATCAAAACTAGTGCATGAGTTTTGTTTTTTTCTAATTGATTGACCTTCACTCAAATGTTCTTTATACAGAAACAATCATTCTGAAAATATTTCCAGTTTATTATGAATTTAATTAAGTAGGTAAATAGTTTCACTTAATTTTACAACCTTTTTAAATTGGGGTTCTAGAAAAAGAATTAAGCCATAACACCTGCAGACCTGTGTTGTATACAGTGGCTTAACCTCTGTGTGTCTACAATAATGCTAGTTTTTACCATTCTTGAGAGAATTGAGAAAGGAGTCATTCTGCGGTTTAGATTAGGAACACCAGTTGAGAAATCAATGATAGAGTCATATCATTTATTCTTTTTTTTAAAGCCACATATCTGAGAATATTGGTAACAGGTTAAATGTTCCATTACCATAATGTTCTAGTAATATAACAAGAGCTTTGTTACCCTAAATTGTGTGTAGTTATGAAACACCTTCAGGTATACTACATATTTTTTATGCCTAAATATGCAAAAGATACCCAGGTTTGTATACAATTCACAATAGTGTCAGGATGAGTCAAAAAAGGGTTATCTAGAAAGGTTTCTAGGTTGAGTAGACAGCAGATGGTTAGAGGGTAAGGGATGGAACGCATGCCTCAGTTTAGAGGACAGGATTGCTTGGTTACAGCAGTCTGTCAGTTTGCTAGTATTTTGATTGATAAACAAGAATATCTCCCTATCTTTTTCTTGCATCTTATAACCAGCTTTATCTATGTAATAAACTACTTATTTAAAAAGAGTCTATTCCTTAAAGAAGAGCTAAGAGTTTCCATTTACTGAAGTTCCTTAGATATACATTACATTCCAGGATCCTTGTGCTCTTATCTCAAACTACTTTCATAGTCTTATTTCTCAAACTTTTACTTTACAAATTTATTTCAAATAGTTAATCTGTATCCCCAAAATAATTCTTGAATTTTCATATCTCCAGTGCCTTTGCTTATACTGAAGTGCCTTATATTCCATGTCCACTAAGCATGACCTCTTTTGTTCTGCACCCTGCTACCTGCATCGTCAAACTTTCCTGGGTGAGTCTGTTCAGAAAAGGTCATTTCTTCCTTTATGCTCATTGTAAGGACTCAAAAAATTATTTCCCCCTCTTAGTTCTAGTAGCATCTGAACCATGAATATCTTACTGTAATACAGTATATTCTAATGTAGCTATTTATAAACATATGTTTTCAATTAAATTATGAACTTTTGGAGGCAGGGACAATGACTTCTTGACCTATTTGAAACAGTGAAATAAGAGATGATGTTACCACTCACTTTATAGGGTTATTGTGAGGATTTAGTGTTTGGAACTTGGAGGCAACACAATTAGTGTTGATTCTTTTCTCTTTCTCCTTTGTATCCCCCCAGAACCCCTAACAGTGCTGTGTACATACTTAAGAACAATTTAGCATATGCTTCATAAATAATGCTTTGTCCCATTCTTCCTTCCACGTATACGATGAGCAAATAGGACTTTAATGATAGTTAATTGTATGCCAGTTACGCATTTTTCTTTTTGTCACTTTCTTCCATGTTCTTAGGTTCTTACTGTCTTTTTTTGGCCTCAATTCACTTTTTTTTTTTGCTATTATTAATGTACAATAACATGAGCAATATTATGGTTACTAGACTCCCCCTATTTTCAAGTCCCAGCCACATACCCCATTATAGTCACTGTCTATCAGCATAGTAAGATGCTGTAGAATCACTGCTTCTCTTCTCTGTGCTATACTGCCTTCCCCCTGCACGTCCCCCTACATTATGTGTACTAATCATAATGCCCCTTTTTCCTCTTGTCCCTCCCTTCCCACCCATCCTCCCGAATCCCTTTCCCTTTGGTAACTGTTAGTCCATTCTTGGTTTCTGTG